GTTATCTCCTCTTTTGTTCAACATTGTTGCTGAAGGTTTGAACCTATTGATTGAAAGAGCAAAGGAGATGGGGCTGGTTAAAGGAGCTTTTGTGGGGCCTAATGAATTGAAATTTTCGCATCTGCAATTTGCAGATGACTCTATCATATTCTGTGAGGCAGACAGAGGGGAACTGGTGCACTTCAAGAGAATTTTGCGTTGCTTTGAGGTGCTGTCCGGCTTAAAGATCAATTTCCATAAAAGTACGTTGTGTGGGGTGGGTTTAAATGATTCTAAGGTTAATCAGTTTACCTCAATTTTTAATTGCCGTAGCCAAAAGCTCCCTATCAGTTATTTGGGTTTACCTCTTGGGGCTAACTTTAGTAGAAAAAGCATTTGGCAACCTGTTATTGAGAAAGTGAAAAAGAAGTTAGCCGCATGGAAGAGGAAAGTCTTGTCTTTCGCTGGTCGTTTAACTTTGATTAGGTCAGTTCTTTCTAGTCTGCCTATCTATTTTCTATCAATTTTCAAAATACCTGTGGGAGTGGCTAAGCAGATTGAGAAGACTCAGGCAGCATTCTTGTGGGGTAAATCTGAACTAAAGAGGAAAGTCCATATGGTGAAATGGGCAGACTTAGCAGTTGACAAATCACAAGGGGGTCTGGGGGTTAGAAATCTGAGAGAAATCAACGCTTGCCTTTTGATTAAATGGTGGTAGAGGTTTGGAGTGGAGGACAGAGCTGTATGGAAACAGATGTTGAGGTGCAAATATGGTGTGGTTGGAGGAGGTTGGGTACCTACAAGGTTCTGAAAAGCGGTTGCGGTTGCCGTAACGGTGGCGGTGGCGTGGTTGCGGTTGCGGAATGTAAGGGCCGTAGTGTAACGGTTGCGGTAACCGGAACCGTGAATTTTTTTATTTTTCGCACAATTTAAAATTTTTTTTACCGATATACATATTTTTTTTTCCATAATCATATTTATTGAGTTTTAAAATAAATATTGATCAATTTTTAAATATGATCCAATATATTTCATATTTTTAAATCACTATAAACTGAGTTTTTTACATTTTATTTTAATAATTAATGACTTTATATGTCATAAATCCATATTATGCTTGTGGCAACAAAAAAAATTGTTGGACTTAGATGTATAAAATTATTTTTTTAATTATTATACTTGTGGAAGCATATGCAACTTTTAATTTGAATAGTTTTAAAAAATAAATTATACATGCTAATGTAATCATATAAAAATTAAAAAATAAATTATAAAGAAATTCTTTTTGTTTGGGTTTGGATCACTTGAATATTCATTTTCTTTTTGGATAACTAGTAAATAAAGATAAAATAAACTAATCAAAAAAATTTGACATGTATAAAAAATGTATTAATATATAATTGTAAGTGTTATGTTTTCTAGATATTTTACAAAAAAAATCAATCACTAAACAATGATAAAAGTAAAAGAATAAATAATAGCCTATATATATATATATAAATAGATAATGACCACACTTATTATTATTACTATTATTTTCAAACAATATATAGATAGACGCACACAAACAAAATTATTGAGTGATAGCATTTGAATAGAATAGCATAGGTCTTACAGCTTTAACAAATCAATAACATGTTCATCATCTTCTCTCTTTTCTCTCTATCTCTCACTCTTCCATCTTTCCTTTTCATTTTCCCTCCTCTCTATCCCTCTTCCCCCATTTTCAGTTTTTTTTTTTTTTCGAAAGAAACAGTTCGGAACCGTTACGTAACGGTGTGTAACAAGCCGTTACGACCGCTATAGCAGCCACTACGGCTGACACACCAGTAAATCTCAATCACACTGCAAAAGCGGTCGTAACGGGTGGCGGTAATCACCAAAACCGTTACGTAACGGCTTTATGTAACGGTTGCGGCCGCTTTTAAAACCTTGGGTACCTACTATTCCAGAATCTAGTTCAGTGTCAAGATTATGGACAGATGTTGTCCAGCTTGGTGCATCTAGTCCAAAGCTGGTTGATTATTATTTATCAAATTTCAAGTTAGTTGCAGGAAATGGGCAAAGACTTCTATTTTGGGAGGATAAGTGGTTAAATAATCTGTGTCTAAAGGAGGAATTTCCTAGGTTATACAGGCTATCTGAAGAGAAGGGTAGTACATTTATGCAGATGGCTCACAGAAGAGGGTCAGCAAATGAGCGGAAGTTTCTGTTTAGAAGAACTCTGCTAGCTTGGGAGGAGGTGGAGGTTGTAAGGCTGCAAGGGGTACTTAGGGGCGCACTTGTACTTACAGTTCAAGCAGAGGACTCTTGTTTATGGCTGGCCAACCCATCAGGTTCATACTCTGTGGCTTCGACATGGAAGTGGTGGGTGTTGTTGAAAGGTCCTGTTGTAGGTGTTGCTGATATGCTGTGGAAGAATATTGCCCCACCCAAGGTGAAATTCTGTAGCTGGTTAGCTTGGAAATGAAGACTTAAAACTTCATCTTTTTTGAAAAGGATAGGAGTGTTGAATTTGGAAGCTAGTTCAGTGTGTTTGCTGTGTAGATCAGAGGAGGAGTCAATTAACCATATGCTTCTGTCATGTCCGGTGGTATGGAAATTGTGGACAGATATGGTGAAATGGTGGGATCTGGTTTGGGTGTTGCCGGGATCAATTGAGGCATTGTTGCTTTGGTGGGCTGGTTTTAAATTCAAAAAGGCGATCTAACCAATACGGAAAGTTGTCCCCTTAGCTGTTTTGTGGTCAATTTGGAAAGCTAGGAATGAATGCCTTTTCCATGAAAAGAATGTTGATGGGTTTGAGTTGGCTGAGTTGGTGAAAGTGAGGGTAGCACTTTGGTGTAAGCAAAGTTATAGAGGTTTGCATTATTCAGTGGAGGACATTGTCAATAATCTTGATAGGATCAAAGCCTGATTGAGGTGGTGGTGGCTGGTTTGTTCAATCTGTAAGGGTGGTGGCTGTAAGGGTGCAGGATTTTGTTCAATCTGTAACAGAACTCTGCTCTGCCTTGGTTTCTGCTGTCGTGGTTTCTGCTGTCAGATTCTGCAACAATATTTTTTGGTGATTTCCTGGTTTGATTGAATACCTGTTCTTCATTGATGATATCTAGATCCAAACTGGGTGTGTTTTGTGTAGAATGAATTGAAGGGCTTCACTTTGCTGTTGGGAGGTAATGGTTGTGTAGAATGACTTGAAGGGCTGATGTGCAGTTCATGGTTTATTTCTGCTATCTACCTGTTCATGGTTCCAGAGTCATTTTTGCTCGGCTGGTGCTGGTTCATGTATTTGTAGGTCTGCAGTGTTGGTGTGATGCTGTCTTCAATACCTCATGAGGCTTTGTGATGGTAGGGTGTGAATTGCTCTGCTGCTGCATGTCTATTTTAGTAACTAGGAGGTTGGAGCATGCCTATCTGCTGCTGATTTTGGAAATCTTTTATGAAGTGTGGTAATTGATCTGCTGCTGCATGTCTATTTGTTGCTGCTGTCAATTAGGTGATGCTATGCTTTGTTTTGTTTTGTTGGTTTTTCACCAACTAGGAGGTTGAAGCTTTTTCAAGCTCCAAGCTGCTCTTTATTGATGTTATGCCTATCATATGTAATTTATATGTGGTTCATCAATAAAGTTTTCTTTTGCGGATCAAAAAAAACAAAAAAGGTCAAAGCAAGTTCAAACATGAGTGATGAAAATGTTTCCAATATGTTTCAAGTCCTTACATCAACTCGAAGCAAATGCATTCTTTCGCATGGCGGGAATTTTGACTCCTTCATGTCTCTTCTTCGTATTGGAATGAGGTAGTGTGAATGAGATACACGACACTGTTTCTTTTTTGTCTTAACTTAGACTTCTGGGGTTGTGATAGACTTATCTTAAAAGGGTTTACGTTTTGTTAGTGTTAGCCATTTGAGCTTGAGGCTCGTTGCTTTTGCATTTGCTGCCTATAGAAGGTTTGTATTGGGCACTATTGTGTATGTTCTCCTTTTGATAATAAAATGTTCACTTACTCAAAAAAAATCTAGGTGGCAATCAAAATTTATATACTCACATGTTCCCACTCTCTTTTGTTAATTAGTAACAAAATATGAAAGAGTTTTATGAACGAAAAAAAAAAAAAAAAAAAATTGTTAAATATCTTATATCATTACTTACCTTTAAATTGTCACTGTATAAACCAATTACATGATACGTTCAATTAATTGAGGATACAAAATGGTTAAAAAATTTGCCACAAAACATTTTTATTATTTGAACTTCAACTTCAACTTCTCTGGTATGTGAAATGACGGCCTTGCCGTTTTTACAGAAGTGAAGTTAAGTTATCTCCTGCTTTGGTGCATGATTGTTTGAAGGGTGTGATAAGAAATTATTATGTGGTGGGGGTTGTTTTGGGTGGTGCTAGGTTGTATAAGCCTGTTATGGGAGTCATGGAAGAGTCGGAGGTATAAAAGAGCAAGGAAGGTTGTGATCCCATCTGTGGTATTATGGTCAGTGTGGGGACTTCAAAATAAATGTGTGTTCAATCAAATTGAGAAGAATTAATTGATTTAATTAAATTTGCGTTGTTCCTTGGGCTAATATGAGATCTGAGCTAAGGGGTTTGCCAATGTCACAGTTGCATATAGTGCTTTGAATTGGAGCAAAGGAGCATCATCAGGAATTTGTTACTTCTATGGGCAACAGTTCTGCTGATGTAAAAGGTTAGAAGATGACTTTTGAACGTGGTTGTTTCTCTATATGATGTTTTTATTTTTGTTCTTTCCTTGGCTTTTGTTGGAAATCTCAAAACTCTCGTCTTTGAAAAGTGCTGGCATATGATTGGGCATGCCTTTTTGTGGCAACCTAGTTGGGATGGGGAGGTTTTGCTATGATGTTTTGAGCATTTTCCATGTTATTGATGTGTTCTTTTCTGTGTTTTGTGCCTTTGGTTTATATCAATAAAATCTTTATCTTTTGTTGTTCCAAAAAAAAAAAAAAAAGTCATATCCCAAACATTGACAACAATAAATATGAGGGTCATACCAAACCAGGCATAAGAAAAAGGGGGCCACCATAATCCCCAGGCCAGTGCCCATCTTCAGCTTGGAGGGATGCGTAGAACCTTAGGGCCCTTCTCAATGTGGTTTCCACTACTTCCTTAGTTACTTCTTCTTCACTTCCAACTTTCAGCTGTGGTAACTTCATCTCACATGGATTCTTATTTGCAAACTATTTGTACATTAGGAATGAAAGTAGTGTATCAACAAATCATTACTCAAATATATATATATATATATATATCAAAAATGTTTTAAGAGCACTAAAAGTAAACCTCTAATGAGAGCTCTACTTATGTGGCAGTGGATCCTACTCATAAATGATTTGATGTATGGTGGGCTTTTTTTATTTCTTTTGGGTGGTGTTCTATAATTTTTACAAATGGACTATGCAATGATAATTGAAACTAAAACACAATGAAATGTGAGTTACCTGGAGTCTCATGAGCAGATCTGAACTATGTTTAACTTCAAAACGGTTCTTGTAAAACTCTTGGCGAAGTTTTTCAATTTGAGTTCGTTGCTCAGTTGTTCCAAGATTTGGGTCGAACTCCCAAAATTGTCTACCAATGTGATTATTTACACTTTTGAGGCATGGATCATTGCTTTTAGAGAGTACAAGTTTCCACATTTCTTTTCTTTGTTGCCTCGAATGTAATTCTTCCAGAGCCTAGAAAGTACATGTTAAGTTTAACAGCATCTAAAGGTGAGACCCTTAATTTTCTTAAGACTACAATCGAACATCAAACAACTACAAACTTCATTAATGATCCTTGTTTAGTTTCAGTTTGGTCTTTATTAATATTTCCATTCAACACAGCTGTCTTTTAATTTTAATTTTTAGTTTAAATTTGTTCAATCAATAATAGTCATTTAAATTTTTTTTTTTTTTAAAATGATAATGTGCAGTACAAACGACAAACTTTTGTGGGCAAAATGATTCTCTCTCTCTCTCTCTCTCTCTCACACACCTTCTTCCCCCTCCATAGTCATTTTGATCACCAACCACATAAACTTTTTTTCTCTGCCATGTATGGAGGATATACATTGTAAGAGAAAGATTTTTTTTTCCCATGTATATATATACATAGAGAGATATTTGTCTAAAAGACAGAGAGATGGTGATGCATAGTGTTTGGCCATAGAGTTTTTGAAACTTATGGACAAACAAGGCAAAGGCAAAAGGCACTAGTAGATGCAAGATGGCACGTGCTCAAAATGCTGTGAAATTCTACCGGGACGTGGAAAATGATGTGGCAATCAATGCCCATCGCTTTGCCATGGCCAACAATGATTTTGATTAAATTCCAATGTTTAGGCCTTTAATTTCACCATTTTTCTATTTTTGAAATAATTGATTCACCTATGACTTAGTTTGGACGAATCCAACTAGGGCTTGATTTTTTCTAGAACATATATTGTTCATTATAGTTTGCAACTATGAGCTTAACTCAAATCTTTCCATTTTTGATAATTTTTGTAATTTCTTTGATTTAGGTTTGATTAGCAAGTATTGCCTTTTCCCTTTATTTCCTAGTTTAATTAAGACTTCATTCTAATGTAAATCAGAGTTGTAAGCCTTAGGGCAAAACACTTTTGATATATTATAAACACTTTGCTAAGAGAATTCTCTTTTTTCTCTTATATTTCTAGTAATCTTTAGATTCAACAGATTGTAGAAGAGTTGCAGCTTGTTTTGGTACATGATTCTAATGTTGTTCACGTTCTACGCTGCATTTGTTTGTATCAGAGCTTAGTCTCAGTTTCTGATCGATCATCATGGTTCAAGGAGTTTGTGGTGGTGGTCAACAAGCTGCTGTTGAAAACGTGTATGAGCGCAACGATGCTGTGCGACAAGCACAACTAGAAGCCCAAATAACATAACAATTCACTGAGCAAATCGAGCGCTAGGAGAGCAGCTCACTGCCATGGCAGTTTTTAAAGGTGCACCTCAAAAATGTCTTCCAAATCCACGGTGAATGAAAAAGGAGGATATGGATGATATTGAGAATGAAGACGAGAACCTATTTGGTGCGTACAGACCACTGATAAGATGACTGGTGGCAAACTGTACATCCAATTGGTGGGATTCGGGCTTCAAACTTGATGTAGTATACTACAGTTCAAGGGTTGTTTACAACCTAAAGAATTTCTGAATTGGGTGGCTGCAATAGAGGAGATCCTGGATTTCAAAGAGGTTCCCCTTAACAAAAGGGTTCATTTGGTGGCAACAATAGAAACAGATTTGGATACGTCAAGGGAAACAATACATCAACACGTTGGAGAAACTGTGGATGGTTGCTGCATTTGTCTAGTTTCCAAGGGCACTGCTACCAATGTTGGCTTATGCATGCCACTTCCAATTCCAGATCAGCAATGGACTTCGTGTTAGGATTGCCGTAGACATAGAAGGGGAATGACTCCATCTTTGTAGTGGTGGATAGATTCTCCAAGATGGTTCATTTCATTGCTTGTAAGAAAACTACTGATGCTATCACTGTTGCTTAACTCTATTTTCGGGAAGTCTATTGTCTACATGGATTACCACATTTCAGATAGAGACACCCATTTCCTCAGTCATTTTAGTGATGTTTGTGGCATTTGTCTAACATCAAGTTAGATTTTCGCAGCGCTTATCATCCCCAAAGAGATGGACAGATGGATGTTGCCAATCAGTCGTTGAGTAGTTTACTTCGTAACCTCGTAGTAGATCACCCCAAGTCATAGGACCAAAACTTGTAACAAGCTAAGTTTGCTTACAACCGTTTCACCCACCACAGCACTGGGTTCAATCTTTTCTACATCACTTATGGGTTTAACCCGTAAGCACTACTTGACTTAGCCCCCGTTTTGGAGTTGAAGCTTGTTCAGGGAAAAGCAGAGGATCTAGTTACACAGCTTTAGGAAATTCACAAATAGACCCAACAACATTTACATGAAGCTACAAGTAAGAACAAGCGAGGTGCTGATAAGAAACACCAAGCAGTGGAGTTTGAGGTGAGAGATTTTGTTTGGGCTATCTTACCTAAACACTATTTTCCTATGGGAGAGCACAACAAGTTAGCAGCTCGAAAAAATTGGGCCCTGGAAATTACAAAAAATATCTACTCAAATGCCTATAGATTAAAGCTTCCAAGCTATATTTGCACATCTGATGTATTCAATGTCAGGCATCTTGTCCCTTACCATGGTGATCATTATGATGATGATGATACAAATTCTCTTCAACTCAGGGAGGATGATGCAAAGTGTTTGGCTATAAAGTTTCGGAACTTATATATGGACAAGGCAAAGGTAAAAGGCACTAGTAGATACAAGATGGAAGTGCTTAGAATGCCGTGGAGTTCACTCAAGAAATGAAAAATTATGTGGCAATCAATACCCATCGCTTTGCCATGGCCTATGCTGAATTTCGGTCAAATTTCATTGTTTAGGTCTTTAATTTCGCAATTTCGCTATTTTTAGAAATAATTGAGTGGTCTATAACTCAGCCTAGACGAATCCAATTAGGGCCAGGTTTTTCTCTAGAATATGTATTTTTTCATTATAGTTTCCATATTTGAGCTTTACTCAAGTCTTTCCTTTTTAGTAGTTTTCGTAATTTCTTTGATTTAGGCTTGATTAGCCAGTATTGTCTTTTTTGGTTTATTTCCTAGTTTAATTAGGATTTCGTTCTATTATAAATAGGAGTTGTAAGCCTTATAGAAAAACACTTTTGATATATTACAAACAATTAATGCGAATAATAAATACAAAGAACTGATAATTAAAAGAAATAAAACAAACTTACTCACCGAAAAAAATAATTAATCTTTACCTGTAATAAAAATTGACCAAATTGACCCATGACTTTCTAAGTAAGAGTCTAAATTAATAATCAACTAAGTTAACTCAATTACTTTAATAATAAAAGCAGCTGAAGTTGTTAGATCACAGAAAGTGCATGACTTCATTGCAAGTAGAATTAAGGTTCAAATAAATTAAATGAATAAAATTCAGCCCTAAAATAATAAATAAATACTATGTTACATTTTGCATCCCTTCGCTTTTATTAAATCTTATTTTGATCCTTTAGTTTTTAATTATAACACTCAACATCTTAATTTTGATCAAATTATGATGCGATCCTTGGTAAGATTGCAAAAAAAATTTCTTATCTAAAATAAAATTCTTCGATTAGCGTCCAAAATGTAATACAAGATGCTACCCAAGCTTTGATGAATAGGTTTACTTCATGAGGACATCAATTGGACTGATTAAATATCGCACTAAATAAATCAACTCGACTTTCACAATGACAAAGGGGGAAAAAAGTAGAATTTTTACATGAAAAAATAAAAATAAAAACAACTATTTTTCGGCTTTAATTTTGGGAGTCTATTTATGAAGATTAAAATAATATGCACTACTATGTGCAAATAGTGTGTAATTAAAATTGTTATAGTGATAGTGTGCAAGCATTGCGTAAATAAAGGGATAAATTACCAGCAGATCTTAATAATTAGACTTAATTCCAAATCTCTCTCAAAATACATGAACAAAACACATCATTAATGTTTGGCTATCCTGTTTTTGCCTGAGTTTTTTGCTGTGTGTGTGGTGGTATTGGTGTTTTAGGTGTAGTATTTTCACAGGTGATTGTTTTCATTGCCAACTTTTCGTGTCTTTCTTTTAGAGTTTATTTTGGTAGGGATTGAGTTTTGCTTTAGTGTGCCAATTTTGTTGTCGTATGTCTTTAGACAATGTTGTTCTTTCCTTTTCCTTTATTACCTTCTTGTATTTTTATATTTCGAGTTAATAATAAATTTTTTTTTTTACCTATTAAAAACAAAAACAAGTACATGTTCACTTAACTATTTTAAATCCATTAATCTAACTCTGAAATTCATTCCTGAAATTACTAATGCCTCCTTCATGGAAAGCTTTTGTAATAGTATAGATAGATTAAGAGTGTAAAAATGGCCTGCAACCCATGTGCGGCCCGAAATGAGCCCGATCCAGTTAGGCCCGGGCTTGAGGCCAACCCAAGACCCTAGGCCTGGGCTTGAGCCGTCATTTTGAAGCCCAGCTTGCTCAAGGCCCACTTAAAATCCAACCCGAGGCCCAGTGCCATTTTTAGTGGAAAATAATAAAATTTTGATAGAAAAAAACAAAAAATTGTTCAGGCCCAGGCCCACCGGCCTGCCCAAGGTCGAAATAACCCTTGGGCTTGCGCCTAATTTTTTGGCACATGGGTTAGCTTGGCCCGACCCAAATTTTGATTGGAGCCCGCGAGACCCGATATGGGTCGGCCCGAACCCAAGCCCGGATGAGCCGGACCGAGCCAAATTTACACCCCTAAGATAGATTACGTAACTAAATAATGGTTTTAAATAGAAAGAAGATATTATAGAATAAATGACATAAACTTAACATAAATAGATATAGAAAATATTAGTATATATGATATGGATTCAGTTACCTTATTTCAGAGAAGATATACTGACAATGTTCTAACCAGTGTCTGACTTCCTGCCAAAAAGAAATAATGGTTTCAGGTAGAAAGAAAGTAGAAAAATTATTGTGAGAAGAATTTCAAAGGCTACAACGTCTATTTATTTACAGCAGTGCTACAGAGCACTAGTAGAGCTTCTCTAAAAGCAGCTATACTGAGGTGGCATCCCATTTTTAAAAAAAAAAAAATTAAAAAATAAGTAAAAGACAAAACAAAAAGAAGAAAAAGACAAATTAATGCTCATTTAGAGCTCCTCTTTTAGAGGTCTAAATCATTTTTGATTTATTTACTGCATGCATGCAGGGGCAATAAAGAGAGTCTGGCACTACATTACATTTTTCATTTGGGATGGATTTTTTTTTTAATTTAAATTTAAATTTTACAAAATTGTTTCAGCACATAGAGATTATCACAGATTTCATTTTGATTATTCGAATCGTTTATTTTGAAATGTCCTTGACGAATATTATTCATACAAAAATTAGGTCGACTTGACAGCTGTGACATTTTTTTTTATTTTTTTAGAGTTAAACGCGATAAAATGAAAATGTTATGATTATCAGACCGACCTAATTTATTTTCAAAAATGATATACACAAATGACCTTGTAAAATGAATTGATCAGATTATCGAAGTGAGATTTATGATGGGCTCCCGAACTTGAACAATTTTCTCAAGTTCATATTTGAAGTTCAAGAAAAATCCAACCCTTTTTTGTGAAGCACACAAAATGTTCTTTTCCTGAAGAGAGTTTATATGAAATAAATAGACAATTTAACGTTCCATTTCTTTTGATGGAAAATGTATGAAAAGCTTTTTTGCCATTAAATATTTTCTTATGATTGGTTGAGAACTTGAAAGTAATGTGCCAATAGTGATGGTGCTGGTGACATGGTCAGTTCATATTAAAATTTAAATTTCACATACAAATTGGCAGATTCATATCATGTGTCGAATCAAACTAGATAATTTACCAATTCTGAAGCCAAAGGAACCAGACTGGTTCAGCTACAATATTGCGGACAAAAATAAATAAATATAAGTAAATAAATAGGAAAATGTTTGAGACTTCTTTTGGGAGACTCTCACCACCCCCACAGTGACGTGGACCAATGATATATTTGTATTGTTTTTTTTTTCTTTCTCTTTCTTACTTGGATCAATCACAAATGAGTAGGGATTGTAGAGGTAATATTTTGTGGGGATTTGAATCATTGCTGAAATAAATATATTCAATCTTTAAACCGAATGGGGGTTAAGCATCAAATGCGTAGATAGCCAGATTTATATTTATATTTATTTGAGTAGTGCTATTTTAACTGAAATATTAAATATATTTTTAAATTTAAAAATTAGACTAATTGTTCAAACCAAAAAAGGGGAAACATGAGACTACTTGACTGGTTGGTTACATAGTGGGATAAGTATTCAAAATGAAAACTTCCACTTCTTTTCTACCTTTTTGGGATTTTAATTCCACTTTGAGCTTAAAAGAGTTATAAAAACTTGAAAAAAAGGTATATCATTGAGTTTTGAAGAGTTGTTCATGATTTTAAAACTTCTACTATCGCTGCACTTAATTCTTAATACATCTGATAGTCTCAATATCAATACACCACGATTGATATCAATATGTGTTCTAATATCGGGATTTAGAACCATGGTTGGCGGTGACAGTGGTGGCTGCTATAGTAGTTATGGGGTGGTTGGGGCGTGGGGGTAGTGAAAAATATGTTTGTTCAAATAAATTTGTTTTCATTAAACATGCAAAATATATATCATACCAAACGTTTAAAAAAAGAATTTGGGGGACATCCAGCAACAGCAATGAATAGTAATTTGATGAAAGAAACATTGATCCTCAGTTCGATAAAAGAAAAGTGAAATTCTCAATTTGATACCTATTTAATACAACCATTGGAACAGGAAAATGACTCATTTTTCGTCAAATTCAAATTTAATGAAAGATTTAAATAACTATTAGAGATGAAAGATTTAAATAACTATTGGAGATTATCTTATCTAACTTCTACACGAATTAAAAAAAATTTGGTCAAGCCTTCTGTAGTTAAAATCTTCTTTAGTCATGCCTAATAATAATTGTTGTAGTTGAGGCACTTCTACTCTTTTTTATACAGCCAGAAATTATTTTAAAAAAAAAAAAAAATTATATCATAATATTTAAGCATTATTACACGAAAAGTGCTTAAGGTGAGTTGATTCAAAAGTATGATTTATGATTATATAAGTAAGAACGTGAGAGTTAATCATATTAATGTATAAAAAAATTACAAATTCAAATCATAAATAGTGTTCTCAAAGGCAATTAGGTACAAAACCTTTATGACCTTAATAATTTCAGTTCTCAAAGGGATTTTGATTAACTATGTGACACATCATGATAATAGTAAATTTTTTTATTCCGGCCAAATTATCTTTGCATATCTTTTCTAGCAGAGCGCATGAATGTGCATTATCAGTAATACTATAATTCAAAATTTTTATTTAATATTTATTCAAGAAACATAAATAGGTGCCTTACATATATACAATAATTTTGATGAATCATTATTCTTTAAAAGAATACTCCACACTATTTATTATTTGTCATTTGTCAATTTATCATCTAAAGGTTTGTACCATATGCATTTTATAATTATAGAAGAAAATGGTATAACTTCATAATTTCTGAGTCATAACTAAGAAAAAAAAAAAAAGTCATAACCTAACACAAAAAAGTCATAACTAATATATTAAAATAATGTTATAATTAAATAGGAAAATTGGTCATAACTAAAGAAGAAAATGACGCAACTAATGGTGAATATGATATGTAGTTGTGTATAATAGAATTCTCAAAAAAGTATTAAGTTTCATTATTTTAATAAATCAATATCATATTGGATGTTATTATGTAAATCACTTCTAGAATATGATGTTTGTTATAGAATCACAGTGCGGTTAATTTTAATTATTTATTTTAATAATCTTAGTCTTATCGTTCTATAAAAGTGTTACTTGAATAGTTATATATAATAAATTTAGTTAAATTGTTTATTTATTTTGATAATTTTAGTTCTATTGTGCTATAAAAGTGTAATTATCATATAATAATTTTATAATATATATATATATATATATTAAATTATAAGATAGTAAAATAGACGCTCTTTTTGATATTAAAAATAATAGTTAAATTAGAAAGAGAATTAGTAATATAAAATTAAAAGTGATTCTAATTATTTAATTTGATTTTAATTTCTGTATTTATTTTGAAAATAAAAATATGTAGAAATAGAACTACACAAAATTTATTTCAAAAATTAAATATAAAGATGTTTTGATTAGAAAGAGAAGAAAATACATAAATTAATTATGTAGAGTATTGATTTTTACTTTGATATTCTTTTTGAATTATTCATACATATTGTATATAGGTATATAAAATTTAAATTAAATATAAATATTTTGTAATAAATAATTTCATGTTATATAAAAAATTAAATATAAATTAATATTAAGATATCAATAAGATAGACAGAAAATAAAAAATATAAAAGAAAATTAATTTGATTTGTACGATGCACATAATTAAGCATATTTTGTCTTATTTATTCATTTGTATATCGAGATAATTTTTTTTTTCAAATATCATAATAATTATATATATGAAAAATAAGTATTTCTCAAATAGAATCTGATAGGAAATTTGTGTCGAACAACTGGGTCGAGCAGAATCTAGCATGGGCCATGTTCCCAATCGACCAACCAGGCTACGAGGATCACGGAAGTCGAAGCCAAGGTTAGTGGTGGGCTTGAATCGTGGGCCGGGCTGGATAGCATGGTCTTAAACCAAGGAAAAAACTGCGAGTAAGTTAGATCGGCGCCCAAAGGTCAGATCGGTTTGAATGTGTGCCCAAGAAAGGATTCTTGGCCGGGCAATGAGTTTTAGTCATGAAGGGTTACCCGCAGCTCAATCGAGCAGTGAGTTCACACTGTGAAGGGCTAAATGTAGAGTAGCCGAGCTACAAGCTGACGTGGCGAAATGGGCAACATTGAGCCCTGCGTTGAAGCCTTGCAAGAGAGAGTTCGACTCTGGGAATGTTGAAATTGAATCGAGCTAGGTTGGCTCGATGGGTAGGAACTACGTTGCCCAATTGGAGCACGAGCAGGAAAACCCGCCAATCGTACACGTCAATACTGTTAGGAGGTTTAGCTAATACTGTTTGGCAGCATTGATACGCATACGTGTAAGAAAAATAGAGGATAGTACATCTATGTGTCCAAGAAAGGACAAGGAAGGTAATGCATGCACAAACTATATAAATCCTACGACGCCTCCATGTAAAAGGTCTGCAATTTTTCCATACTATGAGCTACTTTAGTCATTTGCTTCTCTCTTTAAGGGTGCTAACTTGACCGTCGGAGGGGTTTTCAGGTAACACACCCGCTAGGTAGCTCACTGTCGTCGTGTTTTTAGGCTGTGTGATGCCATTCAGAGCAACATAGAGCTTGGTCGCAAGGAGTGCGAAAGTAAAAAATATTTACTCCTTGTAAAATTGGCCCCAGCTGTGGGAATCAAAACATATGAAACCTTGTCCTCCAAGCTTTTCTGATCACTTTCAATGGCGAACAACGATGACATTTTGATGTCCGCCATCGATAGCATTTTGCCAGAGTCTGTTCGAAGGCGCAACGACTTGCCCGCCATTTAGACCATGGAGGCCTCTATGTGAGGAACTCACAGAGACGTGCAAGACAAACGCGTGAGGAGTTCAGGGCACTTATAGAGCCCTGAAGGGCGCCAGTAACGGCGTGGGTCACACACTTAGAATCTAGAAAGCCAGCTGAGGGATCAAGAAGTAATCATTCAAAGGATGGCTGTGGAGATAAAGGATATGAAGTGCGCTAGAGTGGGAAACCACAGTAAGTACGCCCAATCCCACCATTTTTTACAGTCGGAGTAGATGACCAACTCCTTCACTTTCCATCACGAGGAGTTTTAGAGTCGGTGACTCTATCACACCAGTAAAAAGGTCTCACACTCAAGAGAGTAGTTACCGTCCCTCGCGTCTATCAATGACGATGAGATACTCATATTCCGTTTGATT